AAAAGCAAAACACCATTATTGCTACCTACAACAAAATCTACTGCCATAATTTTTCTTAGCTGGCCCATCAGTTGGCAGTCTTATCACTTCCTAGGAAATTACTTACCTATTGAAAACCTACATAGTCATGACATGAAGTGCCCTAAAAACCTCAAGCCTTGCCAGGGTTGTTACTTGTCTCCTGAATGATGTTGTCTTAGCTACTTTCCTTGTTGCTGAGATAAAATAGCTGTTACGCAAAATTAAAGAGGGAAAGGTTTATTTCAGTTCAGCTTGTAGAGGTTTCAGTCCATAGTTCGTTGGCTTGAAAGCAAGGTGGCATGATAGAGGGGCAACACATAGGAGGAATAGTTCATGGCATGGCAGGCAGAAGGCAGAGAGCAGCAAGCAGCAGCTTCCTCTCTTTTATTCTTTCTAGGCTATTCTCCATTTAGGTGATGTTTCCCACATGCAAGGTGGGCCTTCTCATTATCCAAACACAGAAGGAAAACTAGTTACTGGACTAATTTAGAAATCATGCAACCTTAATCCCAGCATCAAAACATCCTAGAAATGGGCACCTCTGAAAAGCCTCATTTAAAGGACTGCATTAAGCATTGGGAGAACATCTGTATAGTACGTAGGGGCTCAGATGATCACTCTTAACATGGGGGGCCAGGCAAGGAAAGTGAGCATCAGGCTCACCACAACCTGCTCACTCTTATTAGCCCAGCATTCAAGCTTTCTATACTATGCTTGGTTTGCATACCCACTTTAGCATTTTACCAACTTACACTGTAAGTGGCTGTTACCTATGCATGACATGCATTTTTTTACATGGGAATTTTTTCAAATTTTAGTCTATGGATTAAACATATCTCAATTTAGTAAGAACTTTTTTGGAGCATTTGTAAGATGTAAAGGTCAGTGTTCTGGGCACTGAAAGAGATAGGAAACTGTAAGAAAACATACTGATTCTTCAAATGGATACTATAATGCATAATACCTTTCACAAAAGTACTTTGAAAAAAAAAAAAAGTACTGTGAGTCTAAGTCCTTAATATACCAGACTTAAAACATGCTCCAATGCACAAATTCCCCTTTCACAGTACAGTACTTCCTGGCCTCTGTAGATATTCTTAGCAACAACATAGTTCACTGGAATGGCTATCCTCTTAGGCTTATCTCCTTTTAAAACACCTTAGCTATCCACCTGCACACAACTTTAAAGTGTTTCCTCATAAACTCACTTATTCTTCCTCCTTCTCTTTAACTGGATACTACAGAAAAAGTTATTCGCAAATAGATCAAATCCTTATCTTTCTTCTAGGTTTCTTCCTATATTTCAAAAATATAGTTAGAGATATGTTCCCCATTTGATGGTACCCTAGTTTTTCAAGTATTGACTAACCATACAGAGAGTTCTTCTCATTACAATACTGTCACCAGGTTAGGATATTTTGTTTAAAAGATCTAAATTTTTAGCTCTGTAGTATTGTTTTAGATAAATCATGGTCTTAATTTCCACCCATGTAATCTTGGTGTATTTATTAAGTTACAATTTATTTTAAAAAATGAACCATTCATAATGGATAGGTAACAGTTATTAATATTTGCTTAGCAAATATTTAATGACGCATAAAGCAAACTATGTATGTGAAAAAACAGAACACACATTAATATTATAGTTTAACACATCCATTATAATTCAAGAAAATCAGTATTATAAAAAATTACTAAAGATGAGACATAAATTATATAATGAATATGGCAGACATAAGTATTAAACAAATTCTACACACAATTAATAAAAAATACATTAGCTTTCAAATACATATTTGTGTCCCCCACCCACCCATTCACTATTTATCTTTTCATAGTTTTAGTTACCTGTGGTCAACCAAGACCTGAAAACATCAGATGGAAAACTCCTGAAATAAATAATTCATTAGTTTAAAAATTGCACTCCATTCTACATAATGATGAAATCTCATCCTGTCTGGTTTCCTATTGTTCAAGACATGAACCATTCTTTTTTCCAGTGTATCTGCTCTGTATATACAACTAACTCACGAGTCCTTCACTAGCTAGCTCAATTTATCAGATCAACTGCCATGGTATCCTGGTGCTTGTATTCAAATTCCTCTTATCTTAATTAATAAAGCTCCCCAATGCATCAGAGTAGTAAATCTGGCAATTTGGATATTCCAGAAAGAAGTAGCAAAGTGCTTCATTTAAGTGAAAGAGTCAAAGCACCAGAAAAGAGAGAACACAGTCATATAACTTCTATTATCAATAAATATTTATTGAATGCTTTTATTTTATTAGCTATTGATGTTAACCTTTTATTGTGCCTAATTTAAATTAAATTTTAACACATGTATGTACAGAAAAACACATAGCATGTATGGGGGCTGACACCATCTGTAGTTTCAGCCAGCCATTGAGGGTCTTGGCATCTATCTTCCTTGGATAACTGGGAAACTACAGTAGCCAAAAATGTCATTTTTCAGGACAGAAAGACCTCAGAAAAATTATAAACAGCATTCTTTGCCTAAATAAAATAAAATTAGAAATCAATTTTAAACAGTGAAAAAGAAAAATGATTCATCCATCTGGAAATTTTCACATGCATAAATTAAACAACTTGTGAAAGCACATATACAAAACCTCCCAATTAAATAAGAATCAAGGTATACGTTCTTAATATCAACATGCAATTTATAGTACACAGTCACACACACACACACACACACACACACACGCACATTTTCTTCTCAAATCCAGCATCTTACATATTGTAGAAATGAACTTTCCTGCTTAAATCAAGAACAAGACAAAGACAATAACTGTCCCTAGTATTACTGAATATTATGATGATGGTGATGTTGGCAATGTTAGCCACTGAAATGAATAAATGATATATACAATAATGGGAAAGAAGGCTAAACAAATCTAATGTAGATGATATAACTAAACATCTAGAAAACCAAAGAAATAGTGGAAAGAATACAGCACAGTAAGACAATATCCTACCTCATCACCACCCTGCTAATTTTTTTGGACTTTGTATTTCTAGTCCTCCTATTGACTAATGTTCAAAACTTTATTGTGCTAACAATAATTTCCATTGTGCTTTCATAATCTACTTTGGTTTTATACTTTGCAGAAGTCATGCAGATCTTGAGTCTGAAAGTACATCCTAAAGCTTCTTCCTTCTGTCCCACTGCCATCACCCTCAGTTGTGCACTCTGTTTGCGCACTTCATAGACGGCTGCCTGGTCTTGCTCACTACAAAATTTCCTTAATATAAAGTCTAATATTGTGAGTTTCTACAATAATCCCTCAATTTACCTTTCCAGTTTTACTGCTGCTAATCTTTAATTACACATTGTTTTGCTGGACAAGGCTACTCGTTATTTCTTAGATGTACCCATACTTGTAGCTCAGTCTATTTTGGGATTATTACCCTAACCAGTTATCCTGTAATAAGAATAACGTGTATAAATGTTTAGGTACTGCATTAAATATTCTGCTTATGCTGCTTTGTCCCACATTAACTCAGCTGTGGTTTCTTTTTCACATGAAGTCCTAGCCTTGTGTAACTTCCACTGGTATTTATACTTGTTTTCCACTTCAGACTTTAACTTCATTTGATAAGCTTCATGAGAACACAAAGTGAACGCTACACATCTCCTTATTACCTGTAGCCTAATAAGCATTCCACGGATACTTGCTTTACTGAAAAAAGCGTGGCTACCTAGAATCCAAAAATTAAGGTTTATACTTCAATAAGTACCTCGCTGTATATTATTAATCCACTTTTCATTTTTTGGCTCTACTGCACACGAGCAGGGACTCTATTTTATTCATGCTGGATTTTCAAACCGAGATCTATTCCAGGCACATGTCAACAATTAGTAATAATCCTGTCCTTATCCCTGTAGGAAAATTAATTGGCAGTGAATGATGCAAAAGAAGCAGAAGCTCAACAATATAATTAACAGAAGCCAGCCTCAGGGTCATATCATCAGCTTCTGGTTTGTACCCATCATAGTCTATAACATGTGATCTTTACCTAGTTTGGTTTATAGAAGCAAAATGTTTTTAAAAATTAATTTCGTATAACTGGACCTTCCAAATCCTAATTTTATAATTACAAAAATTACTAGCTGTGAAAGGAACAGAAGTGTAGGTACACGGGACATTGAACATCAGGAAACGGCACAGTCAGAACCTAGAAGCTATCGGGTAATTGAGCAGGTGATAAATTAACTTCATGCTTATCGACTGCTTACTGACTACATGTGTTTTATGTGGTGCTGTACAGCAACTCCACAACGACTGTTGCCTTCGCTTCTAACAGCTTTGGGCGGTTATCCTTTCAGTTATCAAAAGGGCGAATATTTAGAACAGACAACATCAACCTTAACATCCACCAGGCACTCTCTACATCTTTACTCTGTAGAAAGTACAGTATTAACAGGAATTGGACTAAGGTTGGACGTGGACAGGAAAGGCACCGAATGCTGGGCCGTGTCTGCTTCTAGGGACCTCGGAGGCCTCATTTCTTCCTTCTCCCCAGATCTCCAAAAAAGCGGAAATTCTAAATTTGACCGAGTTTATAAGAGGAAACAGAACCAGGCGTTTTGTAACGTACCACTTCCAAACACGACACATCAGGTCAGACTCTAAACCACCTCGTCTTGCTGGTTTTTAACGGAAAAAAAAAGGAGTGGCACATAAAAATGAAGACTGCACTGTCCAAACCTCCGACTACGAATCCCACAGCTGCAGGAAGGCAGCCCACACTCCCCGCTCTGCACTCGGGCGGAAGCGGAGAAAGACGGAACTGGAGGGGGCGGTGCTCGGCGCGCACCAACACCCTACGTTCTCGTCGCTGATTGGCTGCGGTGGGAGGCTTGATCGCCGAGTGGCGCCTTTCAGCGCGGAGCCACCCGGGCGGTGGGCGTGCCCCGGTGGGCGTGTGCGCGCGCGTCGGAGGACCGGAAAGGAGGCGGGGCAGGGATGGCGCGCGCGCGCGCGCACGCGCGAAACGTGCGCACGGGGGGCGGCGCGGGTCGGAGGGAGCCGGTCCGCCGCGGGAACGTGAGCCCCGCTGCCTGTGTGGAGACAGGGCTCCGGACGGACGGTCGCGATGAATACGGTGCTGTCGCGCGCGAACTCCTTGTTCGCCTTCTCGCTGAGCGTGATGGCGGCGCTCACCTTCGGCTGCTTCATCACCACAGCCTTCAAAGACAGGAGCGTCCCGGTGCGGCTGCACGTCTCGCGGATCATGCTGTGAGTGAGGCCGGGGCCGGGCGGCGGGGCCGGGGTGACGAGCGGGGCACCGAGCCCGGCCGCGGAGCGCGCCGGCCGCACCTTCCCGGGCTGCTCCTCAGCGCCCAGCTCGGCCGGCCTCCGACGCTTCCTGTTCCTCACTTCCCTCCGGGCCGGCCAATGAGGGCGCAACACAACAGCGAGCCGCCACCGCCGCGTCGGCCCGGGTCCCGGGGACGGAGGGCCCGCTCCACGCCCCACGCCCCACGCCCCGCCGCCTTCCGCCTCGCGGGCGGGAGCAGAGGGGTTGCTGCGGCGCGCTGCGAGGGTCTTCACCTCCCAGCCTCTGTCGCGACGTTTTCGTCCTCGTAACGGTGTATTGTGTTTTAGTCAACTTGAGTAAATCTTTGAAGACGCCAAAAATAGAATTTCGCAATGACTGTCGTTTCACTACCTCCTGTTTGTAGTAGATCTTTTCTCATTCTCAACCACTTCTGTCTTTGATTTCAACACAATCCGTCTCTGACCTTAGGTTGATTTGTCAGAATCGCCAATGAGCCGGTCATCTAACAGCGACCCTTCCACCTGTTGGCCCCCACCCCCACCCTGTCCCCCATTTTTTGTCTTCTGTACCAATTTCCGTTAGACACTGAAATTTAAATAGACCTGGGGTGGAGATCAGTCCTGCCAGTGAGCTGGTGTTGAAGGGTCTGGCGCATTGTAAACACCGGACAAATGCTAATTGTTACTTTGAGCAGGTTTCCTACTCTTCTGGGTCTTAATTTTTTTTTGTTTAAAATGAAATACTTAAAAGGCACTCTTATTTTGCGACTTGAGACCATGGTGACAAATGCTAACTGCTCTGACATGTCCTAAATGCTCAATGAATAAGCAGCTGTCGCTAATTTTCTACACCATCTTGTCATAATTGCTTTTCTTCAGTTTTTTTTTTTTTTTTTTTTTTTTTTCTTTAGCAGTATTTATTTTCCGTTGGGTCTTGTTAGTCTGTGAAGGTTTATGAAAGTAGCTGAAGATCTTTTATATTGAATTAGAATGTGTATCCTGTTTTTACACTTGGTGTTTCTATGTTTACTTTTTTCTTTGTGGAAATGCAGTTTCACTCTAGCACACAACTGGATCCAGTCCTTCACTTTATGTGAATTTCTCATGATGTTATATATAAAAGATGGTAAAATTTTTATCTTTATTTCTAGAAAAAATGTGGAAGACTTCACTGGACCTAGAGAAAGAAGTGACCTGGGATTCATTACATTTGATATAAGTGTGGATATCCTTTAAGAAAATGCTGTATTTCATGCTTTCTGTATGATTTTGTGAAATAAAGGTATTTAGTGATTTGGGGAACAGGGTGTATGGCTATCTCACATTGAACCAACTAAACTTTGGAAATTCTTATATTTTCTTTTTTTGTATTTTAGGGAAGGGGCTACAGGGTGTTTAGGGTCTCACTGCCAGATTGGACTCGTAGTGATTCTCCTGTTCATAGCCTCCCACGTGCTGGGATTACAGGCGCTTTCCACCATGCCCAGTCTCAGTTGCCATCTCAGGGGACCCTGGGGGCGGGGCCAGCATGGTAGGCCTGGAATCCTGGCTCCTGTGCCTGCTTGCAGGTACTTTAATCTGCTGAGCTATTTGGCTGGCCCTAGGCAATTCCTGTATTTTCATCAGTAAAGTAGTGTGATTTGTTCTTAGAGAAAACTTCATAGATTCATGAGTCAGTTTGTGAATGTAAATTCAGTTGATTGAATTTGACAGTTGATTGAAATCTTCACAAGTAATGTTGGAATTTGTTTAGCAAAAATAATTAGGTCATTTGGATTTGGATGAAAGAAGGAAAGTATTACCAGAACTCGGGTTGCATACTTCTTGTATGTAATATATAGTCCTAAGGAATCCATATGTTTTGGTAGTAAAGAAAAATGTATGTTTAAAGTTAATTGCATTTGTAATAGTATGAAAAATAGCATTTGTAATAGTATGAAAAACCAATCTCAAAATAGTGTTAAGCTGTGTTAGGATTTTGTCATAATTATTTTTATAAGAACTTTTATAAGTAGAAATCTTACGGAAAAGAATTACCTTAATGGAAATGATTTAATTCTCTTTGAGTTTTCACTTTTTGATCATCCTCATTTGGCCCTTAAACTTTAGGGTCGTAGGTTTATAGCTTGGGTGTGTTGTTCATTGCCATATTTGGCCTAATAGCTCTTGCCTTAGTATGATCTCGTGATTAAAGATGATTATTTAGGGGGAGCAGTCTGAATTTGTATAAAAAGCAAATGTCTGAACAGTTAAGTAGACCATATGCTGGTGAGTTTACATGTTGTTCCTCTATCTTTTCATGAAATTACTTGTAATTTTTCAGAAATAAATTACTGGATTGAAAAGTAGACTAGGAATAAGTTCTAAAGGCATCATTTTAGGAACTAGAAAGAATATGCTGTCAGAAAAGTCTTACACTAAACTGTATGGCCATACTTTTAAGTCATTTTTAAAAAATTAAAAAGTTTGTATTTACCACAAAAGTAGAATATCCTGACTACCAGATTTATATATTCTCACTCTCATTATTTGTACTTTATTCAGATTTTCTTAATGCTGCAAATACTTGAAATTGCATCTATTTCAGAGAACTGTTTTAAGTGTCAATTCTAAATGATTAATTCTGAACGACTGGACATATGTAAAAGTGTAATGTAACAAATTTGTTGCTATCATGTAAATATACATAATAAAATGATAGCACTGATCTTTAGATTAATAGATTTATTGCCACAATAAATAGATTTATCAATCTAAAGATCAGGTCAACTCATTTCCCCGAAAAGGTATCAGTCTTATAGTTAATTCTAGAATGCCCTGCACTCCATGGACTTCACACATTGAGGTGTTTTGATCTCTACTTTCAGGTAACCAAAACAACTTTTAAAATTTATCCTTGGTTAATTACTTGCACGTAGTTCATGTTTGTATATTATTAAATTTTAATGTTCCTGATTGCTAATACTTTAAAGCTCCAGTGGAATAATAAGTGCTTGAATATTAAATCTTTTTTGTTTTGGACATGTAGGTTGATGCTACATGAGATTAGGTTTTGGTTTTCTTTGTTATTTTCTTGTTAAAATAATTCAGTTTGTAAACCTTGCATGAATAGTGGTGGATACTCCTTTTGACTCTGACTTTGGAATAGGCTGGATTTCTTAATACATTTATATTTTATATCCGCTGTATTAAATAGTGGCTCAGTAAGTTTCTGGACTCTCTTCATTGCTGTGGATAATTAATTGAAAAATAAGATCTGATTGTCAAATGTGTGCTCCTTTCTAATTTATATATTCCTTAATTTGTGTACATCTAGAGAATATATTTGATTGGAATGTTAAGCAGTTGTTTCTTTATTTATCAGCAGAATATTCAACAAAAAATAATGTAAGTATGTATATTTAAGTAATTTTTTTTATTTAAGGTGTTATACTTTTAGTGTAAATATTATATAGTCAAAGAATCTGTCTTGCTTTGCTTATTAAGAAAATTGCAGGGTTTTTTTGATATTTCCCTACCCTCCCTTTAAGCCCTCTTCTTCTGCTTATTCACAGTGGGGAAAAAAGAAAAAAGTTGTATCATGTATAGGTAAAAATTCTCTGTAGTGAATGTGGTTATTATATATACCTGAGATGTACCAATAAACTTAATTAAATAAAAAAAAGTCACAATCTTACGGAGAGGTGGCTCTGTTAGAAAATTTTCTTCTTTGGTAACCTCTTGTTTTTTCTGTAGCATTGTGGTTTCCAGAATAATATAATACAAAGTTATCCATAGGTATGATATATAAGGAAAACAATTTAGAACTTCTGTTGATGTACTTCTTTGACTTAAATTGTGTGTGTGTGTGTGTGTGTGTGTGTGTCCGTGTGTGTCCGTGTCCGTCCGTGTCCGTGTCCGTGTCCATGTCCATGTGTCCGTGCCTGGGATCAAACTCAGGATCTTGGGCTTGCCAGGCAGACACTTATGCTGTGAGCTATCTTCCCCACCCCTTAACTTAAAATTAAAAGGGAAAGAATTTAAGTTTTATGAGTACTTCATAAATGAAATTGCAGATTGAAGGTAATGGTGATATTGGTCAACATTTGTAAAATGAAAGAGACTCCTCATGTTTCCAGCTGCTAAGTTGTGTTAAAAAACTATAAAAACAAAAATAGTCTAATAATAAGTTGGATGACAAAATTTAACCATCTAGAAGACTATTTAGAATTGAAATTCATATTCACTATTGATGTTATATATTAGTACGTATTCACTGTATGTTATAAACAGATACATACTTTGAGAGTTTGTTTTCAAAATAATTTGTGAAGAGAAATTCTTGGTATATCCTGCCAGGGTTAAGACCAGGAAAGATGTTACTGAGCTCTGCATTTCCTATGAAATGAGAACGTATTATTGCTTCTCAGTTAAATACTCTTTAGTCTAAATATTCTCTTTACAGTTATGATTAGAAAGCTACTTGTTAATGTAATTGAATCAATGAAATGTAAGGCCTATATTAAATAAAACTCATTACAAAAATATGCAGTAAAAAACTGTAAAGATTACTAAAAGCTATTGAATCATTGCAGATTATTTTAGAATCCATGTTAGTGCCGAATATTTCTCTTTATTGTGGTAGTCGAGTTGTTTCTACAAGTAATGTCTCTGCTTATTGAGAAATATTTTGTTTTTGAGTTATGTCATATTTACAACTCATAAGTACTTGAACTGGTCTTTTGAATTATGAATTATACTTTGTAAGTTTCATAATTAAAAGCTATTAAATTGCTAAATTAAACCCTGTTAAAACATCATTGGGTGTGATAGTGCATGTCTGAAATTCTAGCACTCAAGAGGCTGAGGCAGGAGGATCAGAGTTCAAGACTAGCCTGGGCTACAAAGTGAACTCAAGGCTAGCCTAAACTACGTATCATGGCCCTGTCTCATAAAGACTAAATAAACAAATTCCAAATAGTTTATAATTGAGAGCTGTTAGTCAAGTATGACTGAGGGCTTTTGCTATAGGAAGAGTACTTTACATATTGGGATATTTATGTAGAATATTTAGATTCTATTTTAGTCTTGGTACCAAAGGTATAAAGTGATAGATTTAAAATATTAAACTGAAAAATGTAGATTTAACATGTTTATATGTTGTGTTTCCCAAAAGTACTCTGTTATTAATGTATTTGTAGTTAAGGGTGGGTCTCCATTTATGCATTTATTAGAGATTTTAGCATTTTATTATACTTTGATTGGAACATAAATTTTATGCCAGATATGTTGTTAGACACTAAAAACATTGGAATATGTGTTTTTATACTTGTTCTTTAGAATAGACAGAACATTAAAATAAATACTATTCTTAAAGGAACAAGTAATAACTACACCTGAAAATATTCTACCGGTTTCAACAAATTACTAAAATATCACTTTACAATGAATATATCTAATTATATTTATAATTGTGGTTTACCCTGGTATAACTAGTAAGTTAATACTGATTTGGCATTTCACATTATTGCTTTGATGAAAATAAATATGTAGGAAAATGTTGAATTTCACCATTTGGTTCTCGGCTCTTCAATCTTAATGATTATGTTTAGTATTAGGAAGAAGCTGTAAGATGTAGCTTAAAACTTCTTTCAGGTATAACTGTTCCACATTTTATGTTACTGCATTCACACAGTGAGAAATCAGTCTCAGAAACTAATGTATGATAATGCAACACTAAATTTTTGGAAACCTTGTAGCAATCACAAATGTGTTTTCTACTTCATAATCCTAATTTTTAAAATTTATATGAAATATGTTGGAATATAGTGGCTTTAAAGAATTGTCTGACCTATCCTTTTGACGCGATAAGACAATGATGTATATAAGGTTTTAACATAAAGAGAAAAAAAATACATTTTTAGTAATTTCTTGATAATGGAAAGTCCTACTCATAAGCTTAATCTGGCAGCAGTAAGCCTGTATTATGTGCTGAGCTAGGACTGGCTTATTCTGTTTTTCCCAGCACTACCTAAGGTTCCCTCTGGGGTAGGAGGTATTAGAAGTTTTGCAGGGAAAAAGGACTTAAGAGAATTTTTCCCTGTTAATGGATTCTAATTCCTCTGCTCCTCTGAGAATCTCATGTTGGAGCACATATAAATGTGAAGCCTTCTGGCAAGTTATGAGGAGCCTATGTAATAGGATTGACTTGTAGCAAAAGAAATGCTCTTTTTATATTTAATGAGTATCTCATTTATCTTTTTCCCTTGTTCAGTATTATTCACCTAATAAAAATAATGATTTATTTTTGGGCAATATTTTTCTCTCCAAAAAAATCATTTTGTATGCAGCAAGATTATCAGAGTTCTGTTTACTGTGTGAAACTTCCTGCCTAGTAGGATTTTGATTTGAAGTGATAAGATGCTGTTCCTGATGAGTTGTCTAATTTTCATTGTGATGTAGGCCCTGAACCAAGTTGTCCTTTGGGACAAGATTGTTCTGAGAGGTGATAACCCAAGGCTGCTGTTGAAAGACATGAAAACGAAGTACTTCTTCTTTGATGATGGAAATGGTCTCAAGTGAGCATTCTTTGTTGTTTTTTACATTTGATAAGAGGTGAAAGGGAGAAAAAGATGTGCTTTTATTTCAAAGAAAAATGATAGTGGTTTAAAAGGAAAATTTGAAGAGAAGTATTTACATAGTCCTGAACTTGAAGATTGTAAAGGAACATAAATTGGGATCTAAAATAAATACAGTAATTATTTTTTAGTGTGTGAAGTATAATAGCCAAAATAATAAGGCCTACAGCTTCTCTGTGTCATGGGGTTTGGGTTTTCTCATAAGTGGTGCACATCTAAATGTCAGAATTCGGTTTCGTGTTACTGTCTCTGATTCCTAGTATAAGTCTTATGTTCACGATGTATTACTCATGTGAACTTTTGGTTCGTAGTCGTATTAATTACAACTATAAGTGAGTTTAGTTGGTCATTAAGGGATGCTGTAAATGCAATGCTGGTATCATTAGCAGTATCTTTGAATTTTAGATGACATGAGAACATAGTTCTTTTTGCAGATTAGCATTCGCTTTAAGAATAGTCACAGATAAAATATTTGATGCCTCATTGCTTGATTTGAAATACTTATATTAATATAGAAATCTTTCTTCTGACTTAATTTTATTCTGTCTTTTAGGGGAAACAGGAATGTCACTTTGACCCTATCGTGGAATGTTGTACCAAATGCTGGAATTCTACCTCTTGTGACAGGATCTGGACATGTATCTGTCCCATTTCCAGATACATATGAAATAACAAAGAGCTATTAAATTATTCTGAACTTGAAACAACATATTTTTATACTTAATGAATTATATTTCATTTATCTCTTCTTTTGCATCTTTTTCTTCTCTCCTTTGTTTTTTTTTTTTTTGGTTAGGGGGAGTTGTTACCTTCTTTTTGATGTACAAATATCAAAGACGTATTTGAAGAAAAGGATTAAACAGTTTTACAAACAATGACAGTCACCAGAGCTGAGTATTAGAGAAATAAATCAACCACATAAAAAGGACTTGTAAAAAAAAAAAAAAAGATGTATTTCAAGTATTCGCTGTATTTCCATTGTTCTCTATGGAATATAAAGTGAGCATGAAGGGTTGTTAAAAACTTTCAGGTGCCTAAAGAGTCATAAGAACTCTGAATTTTATGCTTTGCATTTATGAAAGCTCATGTTGGGTGTGACTTAGTTGTAGACATTCTTTTATATCTTTAGGGTATGATAGCTTACAGGAAAAATTAATAACAGTTATTTGTTATAAGCCTGGTTTTACAAAAAGCCAGAAGAGAATTTTATTTCATTTGTCTTAGGGATACCCACAAACCTTGTTTTCTTAAATGATTAGCAGCTTTCTTCACTTAAAGAATGAATACCTCTTTAGATCCTATAAATCATTCACACTCGTTAAAAATCTCGAGTCAACCAAATGTGTGTCTTTCAGTGCTTTTTTTAAAAACCTTTCTTTACATATCTTTGTATAATTTTTAGCATTGCCATTGAAAGATGAAAGTGCTTGCATGGTTTCCTCCTAATTTAAGTTTGTTCTTGTGAGCATGCCAAGTGCCACTAAGTGGTAATCATTTACAGCTCCCTCTAGGTCACATTTTAATTATTTTTGAAGTAATAATATTTGTATTGTGATTTTCCAATTACAAAGCCCTCTCATGTATTTGTTGTTATGTTGTGCTCAGTGACTAGTGAGGTATATAGTGCCATTTTTAGCTCTTTGCAGATAAAAAGAAGCTAAAACCCAGTTTATTGAGTTGATCCAAAGTAAATAACTGGCCAGGAATGAAGTTAAAATTTGAATGAAAGTCTTCTAATTCGCCAAGATTATTGCTCATTTTATTGATTAACTAGTTCCCATACAGTTTTCATAATGTTTTCTTATTACCCAGACACCTTTCTATCACTTCTGGAACTGGTTTCTTGCATATATGGAAGTGACGAGTTTTGAAGGTACCACCAATTCAGGTAGCAGTAGCATTTCATTCACTTCATAAGTTAATTTTACTTATATCAAAATAAAAAAAAATGTAAAACTAATTTTGAGAGTAATATATAATATATTATTGGCTATGTGATCATATTGCATACAACTTCTTTAGTGGGCAGATAAACATCTCAAAAATTGCAACTGCAGGTACCCTTAAAAGCAAGACCAAACACTAGTTTTACTATCAGCAGCAATCAAAAGGGCTAAAATTTTATAAGAACACATTAAATTGACCAATATTTGTTTTATTTACCTCCTATGAAATATATCATTGTTTAGTTACATGCATTTACAAGCTGTTGTATGGTTCATGTAAAAATGTGTATATGAGTTTTTCAAACTGGCAAAAAGGGCAGAGATAGAGTGCTTTGAATAGACTGGGTTTGGCTCCCAGCTTTTTGATTAAGCTTCATGGTCTTGGTTTCTGTGTCTAAAATGACAGAATTGGTCAGGTTATCTTAAGTGGTATCCTTTCAAGCCACACAGTTTTGTAAGAGTCATCTGTTCAGCCGAGAACCAGAACAAAACAGCACCTTAGTGATAATACATAGTTTGTACTGATCTGACTTTATTTCTGTTACATTTTACTTCATTTACTTTGTACAAACACTGGATGTGTAAATCATCTGTAAGTTTCAAATCATACAAAACTTGGGTATGTTCTCATTAGAGAAAACACAAGCTTGCAGTTTTAACAGAGCAGAGTTTGAGTTCAACAGTTTATTATATTTTTATGGTCAGTGGATCTATTAGTCTGGAGATAAATGTTGATATGTAAATTACAGTTTGTTACTTGGCAAGGCCATATTTTTGGAGTTTGGTGAGAAGTAGGAAGACTGAGGAAGCACAGTGCGAATAAAACTATTTTTACTTAACTAAGGGAAACTGCTCAGGATAAGTATGCTCCATCATGAGAATAAAGACACTGTGTCTCAGGAACTTGTTTTTGGTGTGTACAGTTTTATTAGTCTACTATAATTATACATTTTGAAAAATTGACCATATTCTTAATTGTAAAGAAGTCTCATTAAATCTCTACAAAGATACAAGGCTTCAGATTACTAAGAAACTCAGCATAACCAGAAATGTCAGACATGATTCTGAAAAGAGAATAATTCTGTCTTAATAGATACAGATAGAAATGAGATCATTTTAATATGTAATGCTGATGTACCCTTCTCTAGTAGTTTAACCTAGGTAAGAGCTAAGAAGCAGTATTTTTTGTCCCTGTAATCGGTTATATTTTAATTTCCTGCTTCTGAAAGGAAAACAAGTTTTCAGAAATTCCCGAGGATAAAATAGAAAGATCATTATCTTTTTCTGGAATGAATTTACTTTGGTAGGTTTAGACAGCCAGTTAACCTTATAAATGGACTACATGAATCTGGAGTTTTGAATTTGGAGCTATAGGTTAATGGGGGTGCTTTTAAAAAAATTCTTCAACATGTGATAGGCTTACGCTATGGACTTCAATTGCAAACAGACATTTACCCCTTTGTGAAACTTTCCTTTAACAGTTTTTACATTACAAGAGACTGCCAGAAGTTGAGACCGCTTTCAAAAGTTGCATGTTTTTGATGCAATTTGGTAGATTGTTTACTTCCAAAATACATACTCACAAGAAAAAAATTCACAAGACTATTGACTAGATGGGGATTTTCTTAATTGTAATAAACAGCATTTTTCTAATGAAAATTTTTGTTTGCAAGTAAACTTTCAGATTTAAGGTTTTTGTGTGAACCTGCTGAACTGAAAGTAAAAGGAAATCATGTCTAGTCAGGTGTGGTGGTGCACACCTATAGTCGCAGCACTGGGGAGACTGAGGCGGGAAGATCCTGTAAGAGGCTAGCCTGAGTGACACAGCTTAGTGCCAGCCTGAACTACAAAGTGAGACCTTGTTCCAAGCGTTAAAAAGAAGAAGAAGAAGAAAAAAAAAAAGTCTAGTAAGCTTGTTTTTTGGGAGGATGAATGAGAGGTAAAGGTATCTACAGTATCCAGAGACTGCTCCTAGACTGTAAGCTCTTCCAGGGCAGGCTGTGAGATTTGTCTATATGTTCTTTAGCACCTACCATTGTGCCTTGCGCATGATAGGTGCCCAATAAGTATGATGAAGTTGTGTTTCTAATGAGACTAAGCCCTGGGGATTCTTTTTAATCACTATACTCTTCTGTAAAGCACTGCTTTTTCCATAACTGTGCTCTTGGAGGTGTTAGCTCGGCCTTCCTTTTGCCTTTCAGACTCGGACTGTCCAGTAAAAGTAAATGGTACTTGATGGCTATTGCAGATAAGAGTGTCTTGTATATTTATTTGCTTTAACACTGCAAAATTCTACTGGACCTGACCCCACCCCACCCCCAAAAAACCCACCAAAACAAAGTACCACCGCGGATCCTTGTGAAAATACACTGAGAGCCCAGTTTGCCTGTGGGCTTGAGCACATCTGGATCATTTAAATGATTGCACTGAATTTACTTATTGTAGAAACCTTATTCTTCCTCCATCTCAAAAGAGAAAGGAGTTTGTCAGAAGGCACACATTTGCCAGTGAATTCTATGAGAACTAAGATCCTGGGAACCATAGAAAAATGAAGTTAAAGAGAGTAAATATTTAACCCAAGTTATTTTTTATCAAGGATTTTATAAGATCAGCTAGATTTTGGTTTTGTAAGTGGAACCCTATGCCTTGTCTTTAAGCACTGCTATTTTACCTCTTGAAGGCATTCTGATTTCAGCCAATTGCCTCAAGTTAGTACTGCAGGTTTTCATGTGTGTAAACATAGGTGAGTCTGGTTAGAAGTGGGCACCTGAGAATTGAAAAATAGAGGAGCTAGTGAAAGAAGGAATATTTGAAACAAAAGCATCTCCACACCTAAGGGCAATCATTTCTGTGTCCCTGTGCTGCCTTTGTTAGGGACTTGGAAAGTGTATCACCTCCCCGTCAGTGAATTGGTGCAGAGTGGGAAGGAATCTGTTAAGAGGAGTTTAGAGGTGGGGCATGAGGGGGAGCTGAAGCAGCCAGCCTATGGCGATTGGATGGTGTAAAGTCTTCCCAGAGTGGTGTGGTCAGCTCTCAGCTCTTAAGTCTGGGAGGCTTGTCCTGAGAGATTAGGACATACAGGTAGAAAGACAGGAAAATTGTAATTTTAACATCAAACTTCTAAGAATTACAGCTTTAGGACAAACTTAGCCAAGGTTACAATGCCCTTTTCCAGGAAACAAAAACTGAAAGGTTTTAAAGATAACAATATACCTGTAAATTGGGTGCTTTGGCTTTCCTCCCACATGTGTACTTTCTGCCTAATAAACCTCTTCATGCCTCATGACAAATCTTGAACGTTCTGTTTCTGTGATGGTAGTCAGCGAACCTCCAACTTACTCCACGAAGGGGGTGATTTCAGGTCCCCATCTCTTAGAGGTACCTTCTTAGACTGTGTTCAGTGGTGGGGGGCAGTTCTACTGCTGCAGTTTCTGTGGCAGCTGTAAGACTCCCCTGTATATTAATCCTTGTGTGTGCAGAGACAAACCAACTTTATATTAGCTGCATCATACTTGTAAAAGTTTAAAATTATTTTTATAAGGAGAAATGCTGCTGCTTGAGCATTTGAAAGCCCAATTAAATACCCTATTAAAATAGCCTCAAGGTTTCATTAATTTAAGAAAACAATTTGTTTTTGTAAAAATACATAAGCCAGTGTAGTTCAGGCAACTTTCCACATCATGCGACTGCTGAGTTTCCTCTCATGACTGTCACCCCGAGGTCTACAGTCTACCCTCAAGCTGGATGGTGGTGGGTGGAAGAAAAGAGCGGGCTCATCTTTTTAATGAGCTTGGCTCAGAGAATTGAATCATTGGCTTGTTCTGAGGGTGAGAAAGAACTGCACAGCCCTGTGTGATTCGAGGGGCACCTGGGAAATGGAATCATTTTACAGAAACAACTACTTTAGAAGCGTGAATCTTGCACAGATGGTCATAGGATCACTTCTCATTTATGCTCACTTGGCTTGAGCTGACCAGCCCTCCACAGTACCCCACGAGGGAGTGACATCATCATCATTGTTAATATTTTTTTTCTTCATTTTGCCTGTAGCATGCAGGCATTAAGGATTTTCTCAAGGTGAACATAGTAGCTTTAATGGTTTCAGGCACTGACATTTGAAAGTTATCTTACAGAACTAAACTTTCTAGCCTCATAAGTAGTCCAGAATATTTTTTGCCCTTTATAGTTTGTTCTGTCACTATGATTCAGTATATAAAAGATTTCTTATATAAACGTTTATTTATTGGATATAAGGTCTCACTATGCAGTTCAGCCTCATAGTGATCCTCCTGTCTCAGCCTCCCCAGCGCTGGGATTACAGGCATACAGTAGCAAATTTCTACTGCTTTTGGACTTTCTCTTAAGAAAACCTTGCTTCCTGGCTATAGCATTACTTGTTATAGTTCCTGTGGCTACCTAAGATTTTATGCATATATTACATGTATAAATTCATTGAATGTCAGTTTAATAGTAGGAAGGCCTGTTTTTCAAGTACATTTTTTAAAATGTATTTTAGTACAGGGTCCTACTACACGGACTCTTAGTGATCCTGTTTTCAGCCTCCCCAGAGCTGGGATTACAGGCGCTTGCCACCATGCCCAGTCTCAATCACTGTCTCAGCAAGCCTCGGAGGCGGGGCAGGCCCAGCACTGCATAGCATGTGGAGCCAGGGAATTAAATCTGGTCCCTGTGCTTGCCTAAGCAGGCACATTAGTCCCCTGAGCTATATGGACAGCCTTAAGTACATTTGAGTAAATCAAACAAAAACAAGAAAATGGTTGTGTCATCAATGAATTTTATTGACAGTCAACCTAGGTTTTTTTTTTTTTAACATTTATTTATGCGTGTGTGTGTGTGTGTGTGTGTGTGTGTGGCCAGCTCAGCCCACCAGGGGGCGGGGCTGGCTGGCATGTGGTGCTGGGGGATCAAACCACGGTCCCTGTGATTTGCTAAACTTGCTCTAAGTAGGTGCTTTAGACCACTGGGCCATCTCACCAGCCCCAACCTAGGTATTCTTGAGAGACAATAATTCCCGAGAATTTACTACAGATAACAAATTTGAGAGTGCTCAAATGCTCTACATAAAGTGGTATGAAGTTTGTATATAACCTATCCTCCTTTAGATTAAAATGTGGATTATGATGTATAATGAAATATAAATGCTATGTAAAGGCTTATTATTTAAACTGGCATCACCTGTTTGCAATCTCAACATTCAGGAGGCTGAGGCAGGAAGATCCCTACAAGTTTGAGGCCAGCCTGGGCTACATAGATTACTAAAACAAAACTAAAAGCAGATAACCCCCCAAATTGTTATTTCGGGAACAATAACAAAAATATATCTGTGTTCAGTACAGATGCAACCCTTGTAGGCCTAACAGCATAGCACAGGTCAGCTACAGTGTAAATTTTCAAATATTTTTTAACTTCACCTGGTTGGATCTACAGATGCAGAATCAGTGAGATGATAAGCTGGGTATGTTGATTTATGTGAGTATGTTGTATAAGCAGCTAAGAACATTTAATAATTTTCTGAAGATAAAATAATTGATTTTTAATACTGACTTGGTACTGTGGTGATACTTAAATAATGGTAGGAGGAGAACAAAGTAATTCATATTAGAAATGGATTCAACAAACTGCAAACAAATGCTTATGAATTTGTCTTTTGCTTTATTGAATTTCTTTTTTTTAATATGTATTTGGTACAGGGTCTCCTTATGCAGCTTGGACTCACAGTGGTCCTCCTGTTTTCAGCCTCCCAGCACTGGAATTACAGGTGTGAGCCATGATTCCTGGTCTCAGTGGCCAGTTCAGCTTGCCCGGGGGCACGGCCAGCATGGCATGTGGTACTGGGGATCAAACCTGGTCCCCGCGCTTGCCTAAGCAAGTGCTTAGTCCCCTGAGCTATCTCACTGGCCTGCTTTGTTGAATTTCTAATGGGTAATTGGAAATATAGAAAGGTGCATAAGTTACTTGTAACAGTTTAATGATTATAAATAAGCACTCTTGTAACTACTAATTAGAACAGTGGAACAGCAGAACAGTGCCACCACACACCTCCCTCCCTTCGCATACCTCCTCTGCATTGTCTTTGCTTTCATGGGAGTGATTTGCTTTCCTTGAAAATTTTACAGCCTATGCTGCATCACTTTCCTTGGTTTTGCTGCCATTATGAACAGTTGGAACATATGTGAAAACAAGCACATATTTCATCAGTGATGGCTGGTGGTTCGTTTCTCCTCATTGCAGAATCCAGGTAGAAAGAAAAGTTCTTTTTTTTTTTTTTCAAAATTTTATTGATAAACAGATAGCAATGAGACAGTTTCAAATCCAATCGGAAGTACAGATTCAACAAATAACACACTGCATAAATTCTTCTTAGTGGTTAATTGCTGTACAAGATGCGGACTTGAGATCCTATTTGCAAACACCATTAGAACAAATAATTCTATTCATTAAGAGAATGCAACTATATATCTACCCCAACCACTTTGAATACACAGATACAAAATGGACATTCATCTGTATACCCCATTTTTTCTAAGTTCTGTTATTGAATATTATAGGTGTGTAAACTCAGCAAAATATTCTAAAAGAGTTCAGTAGCCCATAATAGCATTGGGTCTTCTGTTTAACTGGCAATGTCAGAAATTATTGACCTGAGTCCCCCACAGCTCAACATAACAGCATGACTTTACTTCCTATATTTCATCTTCATACTTTTCTACTGGATGGTTAAGACCAAGGTAAAGCAGGACCTGTGCAACAAGAGTTGTAGCTCTTTGGTCTGAGAAGGTCAGTGAAACCCCCTCAGGATTTATCCTGAGATCCTGTACCTCAGATTGTAGAACCTTTGTCAGTGCAGCCATGTGGATGAG